GGCAGCTCCTTGTTGCTGGAAATCGAAGAAAGACAAAAAAAAAAAAAAAAAGTTTCTTTTAAAGAAAGAAAAGACAATGAGATAACGTCATTCCAGCTGTCTGGGAATGGCATGCCTCCTCTGAGTCATTTGCGACTGGCTCTCGGCATGGCCAAGGGTCCTCACCTTGGAGCGCATAACTAAAAGGTATGATGTGACCATCCTGGAAAAACGAGTTCATAAACTCTGCTCATATAGCGGGTGTGACTTTTTACACCTCGTACAGGAAAAGGCTTCAAAAATAAATACGCGTATCAATAAATCACGTCAGACGCTCCTTCTGCACAAAGAGCAAAAGATGGTGACAGGCAAGAGCAAATTCATCCAGCCCCTCGACTTCCCAATATGCAATATAATTGGACACCGAGATTGTTCCTAACACCTCCTGTGTGAGTTAAACCAACCACTCTAAGTATGGCCCATCAGGTAGAAAACCCAATGGGGCTGGCGCCAGATCTGTCCTCTATTCTTTGCCCATAGTGCTGCTAGGGGAAAGGTTTGTATTGCTGTGTTAAAGTGTTTAAAACACCCCCACCCCCACCCCCACACACACTGCATTTATTAATTGATCCAGATCCAGTGAAAACCCTTTTCCAAATGTCATATATAATCTGGATTTAAAGGGGGACAGTGACTAAGGGACAGGGACGGATTACTCAATGAGCAAGGTACGCACGGGCTTCCTTGTGCTTACTTACTAATCTGCAGTACAAAATTTTGCCTGTTTTTCACCATGAACCCATGTGCAATTGTGCACTACAGATTAGAAAGGAAACACGAGTAAGCCCCTGCGTACCTTGCTTAATGTAAGCCTGTGCATATCTTGCTTACTGGTTAATCCGCCCCTGCTAAGGAGGTACATTTTCTCCCGCAAGTTACAGTGAGTGCAGCTGATTATTTTGGATTCCCTTTTTGAGTGCCAGTCGGGCTGTGGCTAGGGATGAGTGTGGTGACGGGGATGTGTATTGTCAGGGATGCTGCAAAGAGGGCAAGAAATCACTTTTTTGCTTTGCAAGCTATAATTAAAAATAATAGGCTGGTGTTCATAGGGAAACACCGTAGGCACGGCCCTAATTTAAAACCAATACAGTTTATCTGGCATCTTATGATTATTTATGTGCCTCGCAGCCCTTGCAGCATCAACTAATTATTAGCTGATGGGGAGAAGGTTGCAAAAGAGGATAGGAATCGGGAACTGAAGATAAGGCCACCGTTAGGAAAACATGAAGGATGTCTGATTGGGGGTGGGGTGGATTTTTGTCCCCACCCAAAGCTTACAACTTTTTTGCCCCTAGAGGGTTTAAATCCTGACCAAGCAGAGTGCTTAACTGGGGATTCATACCCCAAATGGCCTGGGTTGCACTCATTATAACTGCGTTCTAGAACCACTGGGAGCTAAGGTCACTCTGAGAACCAGGGTCCCAAGATGTTATAATTTTAGGCAAGTGCTATAAAGGCAGACCAGTTTTTTGGCTTCAGCATTGGGGTCTATGGTCACATCCGAATTTGTCTGAGAGCCAGTGGCCAAACAAAGTCAAGTGATGTGATTGTGGGGAAGAATGTAGGAGTAAAGACTTGAGTTCTGATAAGAACTGGCTGCTGGGCTCTATTGGGCAAGTCCCATTCATCCAGAACTTAAACAACTGACATGATGACTTCAACTTAATTAACTAGTAATTGGTTTGTTACCTCCCCTAAGTCCTTGCCATGCCCACTCCCCAAATAGCCAGTTATTTTCTTGGATTCAGCTGTTTCTTTTCAAATTGATTTGTGTGGATCATGTCTAATGGAAAGCAGTTTATGTCATCCAAATTCCCTTTCACTGAATTATTATTCCTAATAACCCTTCGCTTTGCACCTGGCACACTTATCGAAAGAATTCCAAGTGGTTTATCAGGCTCCTCCACATCCTGCATGGGGAAAAGGAAAGCAAAAGTGCCTCTAAAGACAAATTGAAGAAATGAGAAGCTCATCCCGCTAACTCAGGCCAAATATCATGGCCTTGTTTCTTTGCAGAGTTCAGGCGGAGATGGTGTTTTGCATAAATTACTGGATATCTGTCTTAGATTTCCATTTTACTCTGTAGCTGCCAGAACCCCCGAAGGGTGGTCACATAACTTGCCCTGGACTCTCAAGTGGTGAGGGGATCTAGTCAGCTCATCCCATGATCCAGAGCCCCTCCCCAGAGTGGTTACAATGTCAGCATCATACTGCATCACAACAGATGGGTCTCTCACCGTTCCGCCAGTCCTGAGAAAGGAAAAAAAGGAAGCCTCTTGGGAAAGCAAAAGGCACACTTCTTCCAAACGTAATGTAACACTTTGTCACCATGACCTTCTAAAATGATATCATTTGCACTCTTGCACGGTTGGAATGGTATTTTTGCAAAGGAATTCTGCACAACCATTGATTTAGAACTGAGTTGATGAGGGAGCCGGGTGCATGTGTTTTCCCTCCTTGGAATCCGAAAGCAATTGCAATTGGCATCATTTCATGTCAATCTACTTTTGGCCACCACTTTGAAAACCATAAACTTCTGAAAAACCCAATCTTTTATCAAGAGCTGGCTTTGATTCCTTCACCACTAGGCTCGGGGGTGATACACAATCTTAATTTCATCACAAGTGGCTTTGGCTTTGTAGAAGAACACAGCATATTAGTCGCTCACCTGAAAGCAAAGACAATCTTGCCCACCCCAGAGATCAACTATGTACTCTTGGCAAGGGCTCCCTCTCTGATTCATGCTCGGTCCACCTGGTCCTTGCATTACCTTCCTCCCTTGCAGGACAATGCAGCCGTGACAGTACCTTCTTGGTCCCAAGCCCACCAGCCCTTTGCCTTCTCGGGGAATTCTCTTTTCAGCTGTACCAATGGCAACCTCTGAGTGACATCTTTATATGATCAGATGTGACGACAGTTTAATAACAAGTTCTAATTTCTGGCTCATCAGCTTTTCAGTCTGCACATCATCAGAACGAGACGGAGCCACATTAGGGAAATCTCACTAGTAAACGAGCCGGTACTGCTGATACAAGATATAACATTTTTAAACTGATAAAAAAAATTAAACAAAGAGAGAGAGAGGGCACTTTAATCACCGTCAAAAAACTTTCATGCCACTTTGTGGGACATCGGTACATCATTGAGGAAAGATGAAAGAGCCATATAAAGGAAATAATGTTAACTCTGTTAAAAGTATCTGAAACAACGCGTTGTTAGTTGTCACCACTACTTAGGGATCTATCATGAAAAAATAATCACAATACCCTGACATATAAACACCGGTTGCAGCTGTGGGTGCTCCCAAATGATTTCTTTAAGGACAACTTATCAGAAGCGGTTGCTAGTCACAAGAATAGGGGTGAGGCAGCGCCATCCTGTAGCAATAGCAGCAAGTTAGGGTGTTGACGACGCAGGTCTGAGAATTTCTGGGAAGCCCAGTAGAATCTTTAATCATGCCTGAATGCCATTCCGATCTAGTCAGACATTTGCCAGCTGCCAGAGAACTGTGCCATCAATCTTTATAGTATATGTAAAATTACCCAGGATTCTTGTTTGGGATTAAGTTAAGAGTATCTTGGTAATAAGGATTCATCATTCTCTTCCAGAAATCATTTGTCAGATTTGTGGCACCATCTTCACCTACAGAAAGGTGGGATTTAGAAAGCGGTAGCTGTTTATTTATAGTTGAGGCCCTAAGATCTAAATTACCCGTCCTTCCAAAACCCTTTGTTGGGATGAAAATGTTAAGTAGCCGCTTTTCATCAACGTTTATTTGATAACTGCTAGCCGTCAATTTGTGACTGTCAGCACTGAATACAAATGAATATGGACTCTTTTAAAGGAAAAGGTACAGAGGTTTATGACAAACAGTATAGGGTAAAGAAAAAAAAAAACACCCACTTATTGGTATTTGTAATGCATCGGTTAGTACTCCAATACTTACGTTTTTATAAGGACACATATTACACAATCAGTGTTCTGTTTTCAGGTGTCTCCATTTTAAAGTGCATGCTTATTTAAAAGAAAGAATAGGTTTAATTACGAGACGTATAAAAAAATAGACATAATATCATGATGTATCTATATATTCAGTGATTGCCAGAAAGCAGTAGATGTTCTAAGATTGCTTCAGACATATAGATAATAGGACATTGCATAGCAAATGCTGAATGAAGCCATTTATACAGAAAGCAGAGTCGTGAAAAGAGACCATGACAGGGAACTTAGACTGGGCTTCGAACCCCAAAGGCAGGGAAGGAGAGGGCCCTTGCAAAAGTGGGCAGTGATGACGGTGCTGGATTCCACAGACAAGGAGGTGATCTGAAGGGAGCAGGTTTGGCAAAAATAAAAGACAGTTTCCTCTTCAAACCCTAGAGCATTTGTTGTTACTCATCTCGGATCTTTCCAAACGCAAAACTAGCCACTGAATATGGTGGCCCCATGCACATGCCCCATGGGGCGGAATAATTCATCATCAAGCCGTGGTGGAGCTGAGATGGTAAGAACACGTTTCTCCGGGTGGAATAAATGGCTGCCTCCACGCCCTTGCCGTCTCTCGCTGTCTCCCAGTAACACTCCTGCAAGAGTTTATAACCACTCTACCGGAAAGATGTAACGCTGTGTTTCGGAGTTTATCTCTGGACACCTTGGCGGTTGGTATACATTCCTCCCACAAAAACAATTATGGTTTAAACCTCTGGCTTGAAAAATAAGCAAGAGCAAGTAGCTCCAAGAGGTTGTGTGTTTCCTATTCACCATCTAAGAACAATCTTTTAAGTTGACAAATTTGCCACATATTCCATTAGTTCATAACCAAAAGCAGCTTGTGTACGAACAAGGCTTACTG